GCACAGAAAAAACAACACTACTAGGCCAGAAAACAAACTGTAAGTGAGAGGCAATAAACTGCAGGTCCTGGCCTTCCGTACTTTACTCGTAATTTCTACAACCCCACACAAAATATCGACGTGCACTGGACTCGTTAAAATATATGTAATAAGAACTGTCCTGAATGATGACAAAACGTTAATTGATACTGTACCAGTGACGCTGTCCCAAGCAGATCAAGTCTACAATCAGATAGATCTAGATATCTAGTATACAAAGCTGGACAAAGTTAGCACACAACAGTTTCCGATCATTATATCATCAAATTTTGTTCTTCAACGCACTTCTCACTTCTCAGAACAGAACACTGTGTTGAGTGTTGTAACAAAGTGGGGAAGTGTGTCAAATGCTAATTATAGAACTTGGTGTCTAGCTCGGGTGACGGTGGAAAAGGGGAGGGGAGGGAAGTGGAGGGGGTAGGCCTGGTCCAGACTCTGACAGCCGAGTGCCTATCGCTCTTCGTTAAAATTCTCCTTATAGTCCGAGAGCCGGGTCTATATAAAGTACTAGAACCTTGTTTTTCATCATAAAGTTTTTTTCTTTGGTGATTCTGCTTCCTCTGGGTCTCTGGACTTCCTATCAGTCGGGGGCCAACTTGTACTTGTATCTTATGGGCATAATTTTTTCTGCTGGTTGAAATACACCAACCCGTATCATGAAAGAATGATAGCTGCATTAGCTGGGCGACTGGAGCTGGGCCATGAGTCGCTTTAGCAAAATCCGGATAATATGTTAGTACACCTCTTCGGCAAATAATATGTTATGAAACGCTTAGGCAAAACCTCTTAGATAAACGGGTTAGCATCACTTCATTAACAAATGGGAACACTCACTTCGGCAAACGGGCCAGGAAAGAGAGTTTAGAATCTGAATTAAGATAATATTAAATTGAGAATTATCCGGTTATCCGGATAGGTTATCCGAATTTTGCCCTCCTCTACCATGTACGAGTCGACCAAGATTCGCGCGAGGGTACATGTACTTGGCCTAACGCTAACACAGCCCCTTTCGCCGTGATGTCACAGGATGCACCGAAAGATGCACAACACGGCCTGCTGTAATATAATATGGACTCAGCAAGCTAAGCAAGGAGTAAGGAGACACTGGCAGACAGTGCTTCGTCACACCACACCTCCGTAAAGTGTAGGAAAACGCTATGTAACCACAAGGACGTGATGCGATCAGGCTGGTTCATGCAACATACACATGCACATACACAGTGTCTCACTCAATTACTTTTATACACTTACTGATGCGATTCTCTCTCTCTCTCTCTCTCTCTCTCTCTCTCTCTCTCTCTCTCTCTCTCTCTCTCTCTCTCTCTCAGACATGTAGGCCTAGTGTTTTTTCTGTCAAAGAAAGAACCCACCCCTGATCAACTCGAGACGGATTAGTGGTTTTCTGGAAACAAGCCGGCAGCGAGATGGACTCAATCAGAGATTTCCAGAATATGCTGAGTTTGTACTGTGTCACCAGAACTGTAGGAGCACACATTGCTCCAGAGGCCATATTCAGCGATTTTTACAAAAGGGAAAGACTGGGGAACTTTCTGAAGAAGAACCCAAACGTCATAGGGGCAGTAGGCCTACTAGTTCGTTTAATTTTCGTGAACATTGTTTTTTTGTGGAGAAGCATGCTCACTGATACCCCCTAAAACACCCACATCGTTGGGAAAAGCCTACTTAGGACGAACTGGAGAGGAGAAAGGGGGAAGATCACCAAAGAAGAAATACAAAAAGTGCTAAGGAACGTGGAGACAAATGGGGAACGGGTGTCAGCTTCCATGTGTCATTAACAGTCAGTGATTTGCAAGCAGCAGACGCTAGGTATCACAGAAACTGCTACTCCTGGTTCTACACAAACAGTCCAACGCAATCAACTAGCTCACCTACAACGCATGACAATGTCTTTAGTATGCTGATTGACGAGATTCGATTAAACAAATCACGTATGTGGAATAGTGTGGAAGTCTATGAACGCTATATATTGAACTTGGAGGGAAAGACAAATCGCGACGTAAACACCTGAACCATGTATCTGAGAAGCTATACCCCGAATTGCCGATCATGTCCTCACCAGGTGTGGCTTCCATCCTCGTCTTCAGGAGCACTGCTTCTGCCCAGATGCGTATTGTGGATGATGAAGAAGACTGCAATGGACGAGCCATACCATGCTTGGTTAGCGTGATCAAAGCAGAATGTCCAAAGCCCAATCGCCATACGTACCCAACTCGTCTGCCTAGGGGATTTGTCATGAATGAGGGCAGCTCAACTTTGCTATCGCTCCTTGCAACCACAGATCCCAAACTGGATTCTACACTGCCAGCAGCAGTGATTGGCCAAATTTGTTACGAGTACAGTCAGCAGCTATTTCACAAACTTGCAACTTGGACTTAGTGTCCTGTTGAGTCGACAGAGGAAATTCATAGACGAGCTTCACACGTATGGAGTCAGCACCTCATACGACGTACTGAGACACTTTCGGTGTTCAGCTGCTGTTGCTATGGCATCTGTTCAATGAGGACTGGCCTACTTTGACAGTAAACAAGGACTTGTTCAAATTGTAGCTGGTAACTTTGACACGCAGATATCATCTCCAAATGGCCAGAAATCAACGCACGCTTAGCAATGATACTGGCACAAGCCAACAAGTAGAAGTCAGACCATGTCGGAAATGCAAGATATTCCCACCATCAGGCGTCCGATAAGCTGACACTTGATGACGTTGCAGTTCAAAGGTACACAGGAAACAAGAAACCACTTATGCCCAAAGAACCGTACCTGTGACATGTCCCATTTCTGGTCTTTCTTGCCACACGACAGGTTTCTCTATACAGAACTGCAACTGAATGAGGATCTGTCATTTTTTAAACAGGCACTCTGCGACATTTTTTAAACAGGCACTCTGCGAAGATGCAAGACTTGAGTATGGAGGTTACAACACACAAAGTGCACGCAGTGCAGAACAACAACCCCAACCAAAGACAGATGTGGTGTACAGCACATTCTTGAACATGATCCCATCTGAGCCAGACATCATGAAAACAGCAATGGTTGAAGCCAAGGGTGTGACACAGCTCACTGGTCAGGGATGGACAATATTCACCAGTGACTACCAGCTGTACAAAGAACTTGTCCACATCACATGGGCTGACAAGGAACAGTTTCAGAAGTTCATCCCAAGACTTGGTACGGTATGCACATGCTGAGGTGTTTCGTTAGTGCTGTGGGATACCTGATGGGAGGAAGTGGCGTTGAAGACATACTTGGCTCAGCATTTGTGGGGGTGCCAAAAATGTTGACCGGAAAAAATACCCACAAAATGTAAAAGCATTGAGACTTCTTGTTGAAGAGTTACTGCGACTCATTCTCCCCAACACTGACGTGCACACCATGGCTGAACTCACGCAAAGTCTCGTCACCAAAAGCACCCAGAGTAAAACCACAAAACTTTGGGTTTAGTGCATCATTGACCCAGTGTTCATTATGATGGCCTTTGTTCGGGCTGAGAGAGAAGCTGACAGGACTCTTCACTTGTTTGCTGTAGAAAAGATGCTCCCCTACTTCTTTGCGTCTGGACACGTCAACTATGCTCGCTACGGTCTGTACTATCTCCGATCCATGCAGCGCCTGCATCCAGACGTCCTTGATGAAATACTTTAAAGTAATATTGTTGTCTCTATATATAAATATACGTATATATATATATATATATATATATATATATATATATATATCTGTGTGTGTGTGTGTGTGTGTGTGTGTGTGTGTGTGTGTGTGTGTGTGTGTGTGTGTGTGTGTGTGTGTGTCGCCCTCTGCCATGGGGCAGAACTTATCCATGCGAGGTCGTGATTTTAATGCGGCGACTTCAAGTGTAATGCGGATCAGCACATTTATGAAAACTATATAGCGGCCATCTAATTTTCTTTGAAGTTGCTATTTTATCGAATATTTGATGTGTATTTCATCAAGTTTGGTTACTTTTGTCACTCTGAATGCTATTTAATTAAGTTTGTACATTTTTATGTCTTAAAAATGCATGATATCCCTCACAACATCTTTCACTCGAAATTCTATGGCGGCCATCTTGGATTTTCACTTTTAGACAAAAATGCCCAAAGTTTAGCATTTGGCCCCCATTAGATTTGAAAGCAGCAATGAAAACTCAGTTAGAATCACCAAAGAAAAAAACTTTATGACGCAAAACAAGCTTTTTCATCTGCCGCTCGGACTATTATATATCTTCACTAGACAATTCCTCCCTCCGCCGGCCAGACTCCTATGGGCCAGGTAAATTATTAGAGGGGAGAAAACGATGAGTAAATGTCAAACAGGAACTATAGGTGGTTGGAAGGTCAATAAACAAAAAAGATTAGTGCCATGCTAACAATAAATGTTCTGATGGTAATTAGAGAAAGGCTGAATGATAAATACATGTTTTGCTGATAAAATAATACATGTGTCTGTGCTGCTCAAGACAGTCTCAATCTTAATTTTGTAAGCTACAAAGAGGCCAATTTGGTAATTTAAGGGATGCCTCTATTCCTTCTCAGGGCTGTCGATGGATTTGTCCATTGGACTGACGTCATCGCTAGGCCAAAGCCCGCCGTGTGTTTGGCTTCGTACGTAGTAGCCTACGAAGTTCCTCGAAGAGACGGCTTGATGGGAGGGGAGACAATTTAAAGTTACGAGCCGGCGCGATAACAAACGTGAAGGAATTAGGCTCTGTTGCGACAAATAAACAGCAGTGAATCCCACTTCTCTACTTGAGCGCCTTCAAATTGGCAAGGTGCTTTTTGAATGTTGATACATGTTTGTTTGGATTTACTTAAAACTGAATGAAAATCATCATCAGCAATAAATCTCCTGTCAACAGTCCAGCTGAAAAAAATCTGACCGGCACCGTCGGTCTTGCCCAGTTAACAAACCGCCCCTGGACACCAGCCATCCATGTCCAGGAGCTGTTTTAGCCTTGTTATCTGTCTTTGGTCACCCTCTCTCACACACCTTCCAATCCTCCACTTGAGGCTCCCTGTTGGCCCGGCTCATCCCCCACAGTGTCAGGTTCGCCGGTAAGTCCTCTCCGTTTTAGACACTTTCCCTCTCTCCTCTCTACAGTCACACCTTCGTGAGATTGCGGGTTCGGGGGTTCGAGCCTGAGCTCGGTCCGACGTTGTGTCCTTGGGAAAGACACTTTACACGAACTTCCCACTTGGCTCGGTCCTATCGGAGACGGACGTTAAACTAGGAGGTCCTGCCCCTTAAATAACCTAATAGTGTTGATAGGGGCATCCCACAGAATTCTACACTTAGGCCTAGTGCCGCTCTTCCATTCTAGAGGGTAACTTTTTCCACACTAAAGACAGTCGAAGACAAGGGCCTAGATCTATAGCAGTCGAAGCAGTAAAGGTCATCATCCATCAGTGGCAAGTCAATAGTCAAGATGGCTTCCAAAGTCACAGAACGAGCCCTGAGCCTAATCAAATCTTTGCCAAGAGTTGCCTTAACAAATATCAAGGATTTGCCGTCAGCAAAACGGGTAAGCCTAAATTTTTAAGGTATATGTCTGTGTAGTTGTTGGTATGGTGTAGGCTTGAGTGTAGTGCGAAATTTTCAAGTTGGCATTCGGTCTGAGTGAGTCAAGTTGTGAGTGTGCACTGTACACTGGCTCTGATACTCTGCCGTCGTAAGGGAAAACGACGAATGGTCCTGCGCAGGTAGCGAGGCAAATTTATCAGGAGAGGCGAAAACTTGTTTCACTTTATAACTCTTCTATTTTCCACTCTTTTAAGCTGTAATTCACCAGATATCTGACTGAGATGTTCCTAAAAAAGCAGTTTCTAAAGTTTGAATGGTTTAAGTTTAGGTTAAAAAGTAGTCAAAGTCAAAGTTATTCGACATTCGTCGTTCTCCCTTACACTGCGCACCCGCAGGTGAGCCTTGCGATGTAAGCGAAAACGACGAATGGTACGGTTCATCGTTCTCCCTTACACTCCTGAACGTTTATGGGCGTAGGCGATGGTCAGTTGACTGAGTTGTGACGCGTTATTGACAATGACTGTGTACACTACAAATAAAAATAAGACGAATGAATACTTGTAAACTAGTTATTATGCGTATAAAGTTAGGTGTTTGTTATTATATCCCAACTGCAACTCGGTAAACGTCCTTCGTTTCCCTTCCTTGGACGCCTTGGTTAAACTACACAGTCAGTGTACAAATCAGATGTGCACACATTTTCAGCAGTTTAAAACTGTCTCATTCGGAACCAAAGTTTGGTTTCCATGATATCTCTTTACTGTTTTCTCTTCAGAAGCGAGTTTTACTTTTATTTTCGCTAATTGCAAATTTTTCCCTGCACGACCTAGCCTAAGGGATCAATAATGTTACAATGTCAATAATACGATCAGATCATTGCAAAGTCAAACTTTCAAGTAAGAATGTAACAATCTGACAAGACTGTATCACACACGCTTTCGGGAGAGGTAATGGGACGCTTTGTATTTTTAATAAAGGATTCAGTTTATCGGATCGGAAAACATACCACAAAGTAGAGATTGACTGGAACGGTTTGAATCTGCAAGACATTTATTATTATACTCGATCGTAACGTCCATCAAGTCATAAAAAATCGTAAAGCAAGACTAGGTGTCGCCACAATACCTCCACTTTTTAAGTTGGACAAAGAAATTTACTCTCATAACCCAGTGTCATTAATTGCTTGGTAATTCTATAATGATGTCGACCAGTGATACGTGCTGGACAAATTGCGGCACTATAGCCATCGTTGTGATTTGGGATGTCAAATGACTGGACAGCAAAGTTACATGACGTTAGTCTGTGAACATCTGGCTGACACTAAATATGCAGTGCTAATAAATTTCTCCCTAAATACTGTTTTGACCGTCCCATCCCCACCCCTTTCCCCCTGTTCCCATCCGTTTTCCCCTCTCTCCCGCCTGCTCTTGTCAATTCAGCATGCCTCATACGTGAAGACAGACAGAAAGACACACTAAGAGATACATTCTTATAAACCATCGACGGTACTCCGGGGGAGGGGGTGGTGGTATGTTTGTTTGCTAAAAAAGCCTGATATGTTTGTACTGACGCAACAGTGACCACTTGTCATTCGTCGTCCATGCCGAATTTGCCCAACGGCAGAGACCAGGGGACAACGCCGAAAGAGCAGTGATCCTTGACCGATCGACCATTCGTCGTTCTCCCTTACACTGAGCTCTGGCTCGGAGTTCGCCAGTGTAAGGGAAAACGACGAACTCTCAATTACGCAACAACGGATTAAGATATGACTAAAATTTTTACACCATCAGATGCAGAATTAAATACTCTATGAAATATGTAAAAATACAAAAATCGAAAAATTTTGACCATTCGTCATTTTCCTTTACGACGGCAGTAATAATGAGAGGCTTTTTATAAATTTAAAACTCTTGTCCTGCATCTGTGCTGAGATGCGAATCTTATCAGCAACCGATTACGTCGGACATTCCAGGCAGGGCACCGGGGATACTCAGTGTTTACTGTTGGTGTACAGCGTGCATGCCGGGAAACGTGTGTTTTTGCCATGAATACCGTGGGAGTGTGTTAATTAATCACGATGAAAATAACGCTCTAGATCTAGAGATCTATGTAGATTCTAGATCTAGAGCTTATGTACGGCATACCGACACCTTAGTGTTTTGTGATGACTATTTCCGGAAGTGAACTTTTGTATTACCATAACTTCGGCTCTTTCAAAAGGCCACTCTATTCTCACCCGGGGTGAGAATAGTGCAGGCGAGTCTTTTGGCTATTCTCACCCGATGTGCATTCACCGTTATAGCCTAGATCTAGGCCAACAAATTTTGCGTTCACCCTAAACCACAGAATTCTACACTGTGATAACAGAAAAATTGTAGAATTCTGTGCCGTGAACAAACGTTCCATTATTGCAATCCATTACAACTGTAGCCTACTAAAAGCGTACAATTTTGTCTGTGGGCAGTAGAGAGAGAGAGAGAGAGAAAAAGAGAGAGACAGAGGAGTAGCGCGAGAACTTCTGGTCAAAACAAAATGGCGACCCGCGTAGTTCGGCTCGATTCGAAAAGTTAAATAGCCGTAGCATCTTTGTAGACAACCAAATTAATTTACTTTTGTGTTTTAACATCATTTTTTGACTTTGTTTTGGTCAATTTGATCGTCCACACCGATAGACAGTATTCAGAAAGAGAGAGAGGGGAGGAGTAGATCTTGCGAGAACTTCCGGGCAAAACAAAATGGCGACCCGCGTAGTTCGGCTCGATTCGAACAGTGAAATAGCCATAGCATCTTTGAAGACGATCAAATTAGCTTACTTTTGTGCTATAACGTGATTTTTTCTTGGCTTTTATCAATTTGATCCCACACCGATAGACAGTATTCCAAAATGAGGAAAAGCAGGTCTTGTTTTGCACCGGGTGAGAATAGCCTACGGTGGCAAGTCTCACCCGGGGTAAGAGGTAGATCGTTTTTCTATTCTCACCCCGGATGAGAATAGCCACTTCCCTTTCAAAAACATCGACCCAAAATTTCGTTTCCTTGGGAGGTCAGCCTTTCCTGTCGGTGTGGAAAGTTGAGTGAAGTTTTTAGTCAGATAGTGTATAAAGAAGACCCCTAAACGAGACTTGACGCATGCATGTCATGACATGTACCCCATACTGGCACGTATCGGGTTTTCTGTCATGGCATGTACCCCATACCGGTACCCCTTACACCCCATACCAGCACACTCAAATTGAAGCACAACTAGGCGTTTGAAAAGAGAAAAGATGCAAAGACGAACTCCTTTTGTACAGTGGGCCTAAGACAGAACTAATGTTTATTGACATACTAAAAAGAACAACCACCAGAACAGACTCACATACATCTTACTCACACATAGGTACATGAATGTATTTCATTTTACTCTTCCACACATATCACAAACTCATCATGAACATCTTCCTCACACACAGCTACATGAATGCTTCATTTTACTCTTCCTCACATATCACAACAAGCTCACTTGAACATCTTTTACTCACACACTAGAACTTGAATGCTTCACTTTACTCTTCCCCATGTATCACAACAAACTCACATGAACATCTTACTCACACACATATACATGAATTCAGGGCACACAAATGTAAAATGCTTTAGTTCACTTTTTGACATCTCGCTCAACACAGCACTCTGTCGACCACAATGCCCCTTATGATACAATCACAACTCACACATGCGGGCTTTGGTGCTGGGAGGAACTGAGCACTTATGGACCTGTCCGGTGTGCAATGACGTTGTTGCCCAGGACAGGTAATAATACAGGCAATAATAACTTAGGGGCCTGGAGCCCGCTTCTCTGTGTTGAAACCATAGAGTTCCAGCTTGCTGGTATTGGCAGGTTGACGAACGAGGGGGCAGGAATGAGTTGATTGTACAAATCAAGGTACTTTCTGTATGCCCCCTCGTTCTCCTTAGGTTCGATTTTGTGCCAATGGCAACGGCGGACCCAATGCATGTCTGATGCCATCCATCCAGTGGCAATGGTGTGATCAATTAGCTTGTCAAGGACAAAGCAAAAGTGTTGTCCTGAGGCAGTTTTGGGGGGACTTTGGGTGTCACCAGAGTTTCATCTTCCAATGGTCTCAACGCCTGCTCAGGCAGACAATAGTCATGGTCCTGGTTATCTACAGGATCCCGAGCTGGTGTTGAAACCAAAGGTAGCTGAAACTCTGCTGCAGGATCTAGGAAGTCCTCGGCGGTACATTCGATCCCCGATAATTCCAGACCTGTGGTCGAAAACTTTAGGGCATCAACTGACCACTCACAACTAGAAATAAGGGCAGTTGGGGGAGGGCCAGCAAGTTCTTCTTCTGAAACAGAAGCAGTAGGAGCAGGAACAATATCACAACATGTGGAAACAGTGGCTGGAGGAACATCATCACAACATACATTGGACAGAGGAACATCATCATCATTACATACAACGGGTGGAGGGAAGGGATAGAGTTTCCTTCATATAAATTTGTTTCAACGTTAAAAAAGAAAACTAAAGTCGCTCATTTTCTAATGAATCCGTGTCTGAATAGTAATAATAGATCTATCTAGATCTATATAAAATCATAGAAACTAAAAAATCTAAAGTACTAAGATGCCATCCATAGTCCGTGAAGAATTAACTATTTTTCAAGTCACGCACCATGTAAAAAAATATAGTACCGCTATGGGGTATATCTATAAAAAAATTGTACCCCATACCGGCACTCCCCTACCGTCGCCAATTGTTACAACAAAGAGCAGCGAATGGTTTGTGGCGGTAACTAGACACCTTATAAACTGAATGAAAATGCAAAACAAATCCTGCGGGTACGATTACAGAACCAATAGCTTATTTCCCATGACGCATTGCGCATCTGCAAGCCGTAGTGGCTGAACGTGGTTTTTACCTTTGGAGATGAAATGGATTATTTCTGCTCACACAGGTGTCTGATTCTGCTCAAAATTGTTGAACTTGAACACAAA